CCCTCTGCTGGTGTGCATGCCACCTGCCCTCCCGGGCATGCGTCAAGGATGAGAGCCTCTTGCCCTAGGCTTTCAGAGCATGCAGGAGGCCAGGCGTCCTCACTCAGCCTAGCACTTGCCAGCTCCTGCTGGGCACCACAGGGCAGCCTCCCACTCCCTCCCGCCCTCTGCCCCTGCAGCGACAACGAGGAGAAGGCCTTTGGCAGCAGCCAGCCATCCCTCAACGGAGACATCAAGCCTTTGGGCAGTGACGACAGCCTGGCCGACTACGGGGGCAGCGTGGATGTCCAGTTCAACGAGGACGGCTCCTTCATCGGCCAGTACAGTGGCAAGAAAGAGAAGGAGGCGGCAGGAGGCAATGACAGCTCAGGGGCCGCCTCTCCCATCAACCCTGCGGGGACCCTGGAGTAGCAGGGTCTGGCCAGGCCAGGCCAGGCAGAGCACAGCCCAGGACTGGGCCGCAGGGGAGTCAGAGGCCAAGACTCCCCAGCCTGAGGCCTGTGCTGGGTCCCTGGCCTCTGGCCCTGAGCCCAACGGAGGCTTGAGGTGGAGGCAGGGAAGAGGATTTCACTGCCTCTCATACCTTCTGACTACCCGGTCCCCAGTTTATTGCCAAAACCCAGCTGCACCCCTCCTTGGGCACACACTGCTTTGCTCTGCTCAGGGCTGATCACCCACACATCTGGAGCCTTCAGGTGCTGTCTTGCCAGCCTTTGGGCAGAGAGAGGCTGTGGTCAGGGGAGAGGAAGTGGGGATGGCGGCTCTACCCTCCGCTGTCCCTTGGCCTGCCTGGCTGGGACTGGGGACAGAACTCGGTGTCTCCACCATCTGTTCCCTCTTCTTTGCCATCTCGGCTCCAACTGGGATGGGAGCTGGGCAAGCTGGCCATGGATGCAGAGGAGGCCATCTGGAGAGCCCAGAGTCCCCACCTGCCTGTATCACCCTCAACTGGCACCTCTCCGCCCACTGCCCACCCAACCCTGCGGCCGGCTTTCAGGAGCTCCGTACACACGCTGCCTTTGGTACCCACCAGACAACATCCAAGTGGCCTCTGTCACTGCCCAGGTGCGGGGCAGGCACACCTCCCTCCTCCCCGGCCCTGGCCTCTCCCAGCCGCCACCACTCCCCGGGACCCCTTAGCAGCTCCACTTAACCCCCTTCTGAACAGTTCCTTTCCTCAGCTTCCCCCATCCCCACCTTGGGAATGTAAATACACCGTGACTTTGAAAATTTGTACCCTTGCCCTTTCCCCATATGCCACTAGTGTGTAGGCAGATGTCTGAGTCTCTAGGTGGTTTCTAGGTTTTATAGCAGTTAGCTTTGATGATCCCATCCCAGGAAAAATAAAAACAGACAAAATAAAAAAAGGAAAGATTGGTTCTCCCAGCTCCGCTGTGCTCCTGTGCGGCAGCCACCGTCTCCCTGTACGCCTTTGCTTGGTCTGTTGATGAGCCCTTTACAAAAAACAAAAGTATATATATATATATGTACATAAGTATCAGAATTATAAAAGGCAAATAAAAACCTGGAAACGAAGGGGAACTGCTGTCATTTTCCAGAGCACGACTTCGCGTCGCCGTGACCCACCCTGTGATGGGTCGGTGCGGAACCAGGGAATTCTACCTCCCCTGCAGGCCTGGCTCTCTGCCCCCGTGGGCCGTACCACCTGCTCCTCACCCCTACTGGTCTCCGAGAGAGCTCTGGGCTCTCCCCACGCTTGGGCCCCTCATTCCTGCAGCAGGGCAAGCCCAGGAGCAGAAGATGGCCAGAACCCAGAAATCCCAGAGCCCTTGGCCCCGGATCTCTTCCTTGTCTAATGTGATGCCCATGCATCCATTTGGCTCCCTGCTTCAGGCACTGGTAGAGCAGTGCTGCCTAGGTTGCCCAGCCCTCTAAACTAGTAAAACACACTTTAAACCAGATGACCACAAACCTCAAGTGAGCCCACATGGGTGGCCAGTCAGATGGCTCCCTACCTTTCCAACACGAGACTCCCACCCATTTCATCTTTAACTGAGCCACTAGAAAGCACCAGAAAAGAACTTCTTTGCCCATGTTCCCACTGTCAAATCTGTTTCCCGCAGCCCCAGACCCAAACCCTCTGTCCTCCTCCGGCTGCCATGTGTGAGCGGCAGCCTGGGGTCAGCCCCTCCACCCAGGCACTGGGTCTCACCCCTGAGTCCCATCAGTAGTTGTTCTCTGCTGTGTCTTCCTTGTCTGTCCTGTCTAATTTTTCGGTCCCTGTTGATCAGTTCTGTGGGAAGACAACCATGCTGTAACAGCTTTCATCACTAAAAACACTCGCTACAAACACCACACATCTCTCCAGCTCACACCCCACTTCTCTGCTCCTACCGACAGCAACGCCCCTCAAGACTTGTCTACCCTCCTCATTCCCGCTTGATCTTGACCCATAGCAGCATCTGCTTGCTGTCCCCAACATCTGTCTTCTTGTTCTCACATAAGAATAGAATTTCATGCAGCAGAAGAAACATTTCCCAGACTCCTTTGCACCTGGGCAGGGTGGGGACATGGAATGTGAGGGCAGGGACTACTTCTGGGCTGTACCCTTTAAGAAGCAGAGTGTGCCTTTTCCTGCCCCATTCAGTCTCCTGGCCAGCCTGGTGGGCTGGGAGGAGCCATCCTGGACCACCAAAGGGAAGTTGGTGCTTGAGGATGGCTGAGCAGCAACATACAAAGAGCCTGGGGTCCTGATGATGCGGACCTGCCATGTCTACTCAGGGCTGCCTCCCTGGATGTTAAAAAAGGTTGAGACTTTGTTTTTTAGAGCCATTTTAGCTTTACAGAAAAATTGAGCAGAGTGCAGAAAGTCTCTTCCTCCCCACCCTCAGCGGTTTCCCCATTATTAACATCTTGCATTTCTTACAACTGATGACCCAATTGTGAGCTGTTATCTTTAACTAGAGTTCACAGCTCACATTAAGGTTCACTCTTGGTGTTGTATGTTCTATGGATTTGGACAAACATATGATGACGTGAATGCACCTGTATAGTATCATACAGAGTAATTTCACTGCCCTAAAAATCCCCCTAAATGTCTTTATTGATGGTTAGCATGCATTACAATGAAGTGTACCCCCGAAATTTTAAAATTTCGAATCCACCACTTGCTCAGAATGTCTGCATCAGTGCAGAAAGCTCCAATATGCTTCCTCTAGCCAACACCTGGCTCCAGAGACAGCCCCCTCGTGACGTCATTCAGGTGGCCGTGTCAGTTCACCCCTCTTTTTCACTGCTGAGTGGTACCCGTTGTCTGGGTGCTCCACAACTTACTTATTCATCTACCCGTTGGTGGACATTTGGGTTGTTTCCAGTTCTGACTACTCTGGGTAAAGGGACTTTGCAGTCCCTCCCCGGGGGTACTTGCCCTAGGAGGAGAAGCACTGGACCAGAAAGCGGGCGTGCCCGCTACTCAGCCACTTTGCTGTCCTCTTTGCCGGAGCGGAGACTCTACAAACCAAATATGTGCTTTGCCAGCTGACTCCATCTTAGGCTCTGCCAACAGAGGGTGTTGGAAGGAGACCACAAAGCATCACCCTGGCAAGTCCTCTTCACCCTGGCCATCAGCAGTTCATCTGCATGGGACCAGATGAATGCGATTTTCAGATTTCCCAACACTTACAAAAACAGCTTCACTGCATCTCACCTCTGACACGACAACCCCAGGCAGTCAAGCTCCTCCTCCTCAAGGGTCTGGGGCCCAGCTCCATGGGGCTCTTTTCTTAGACCTCAGCACTAGCTAGGCTCCACCCCAACCCACAGACTGACTTTCACTTCTGATGGCCCCTCTAAGCTGTTACATTTGAAGAGTTGTGACCCCCTCCCTTTGTTCCAGCCTCAGGGGCTCATGAGTTTGAGGGGGCTGCTGGAACAAAGTACTACGCACTGAGTGGCTTAAACAACACTTCTGGCTGCCAGAAGTCCAGGGTCAAGGCGTCGGCAGGGTCGTGCTCCCTCTGAAGGTGCTGTCTTTGTGTCTGTTCTCAGACTGGATCCAGACTGACGGAGAGGCTAGTTATAGAAGTGGTGTCAGGAATCACATCCCAGAGAAGGGCCTTTGGGGATTGCTTTGTTTGAATTTCTGGCTTGGAAGCACCATTCACTCCTCCAACCACTGCCCTACCTTTCACATGAGAAACATGGAGAGGCCGGGAATTCAACTGACCTTGGGATTCTGCAACCCACACAGTGAAATGCTGTGTTTCATTTCTAGCACCTTCCGCTCTATGGTCACTAAAAGGAAAAGAATCTTTAGGACTGTCATGGGAGCTCTCTAAGGCCTTGCAAGGGGGCATCCATTGTCCTCAAGACCCACTGAAACCATTAAACCCATAACTAGGGTCTAGCCTTAGCATATTTCAGGGGACAGGTGCAAATGGAGACCCAGGAGGAAATGGCTTATACACCAAAAGAATAGCAATGTTTTTGCTAGTAAATATTGGCAAAAACCTGGGGGAATATGTGTGGGAGTGGATCTTAAGGATATTACACCAAGAGGATATAACATTGGGTTAGTTATAATTTATTGAGCTGGGTGAGTTTACCAGAGATTCAATTTTTAAAAAAATTTTATTAATGGAGGTAAGAGGGATTGAACCCAGGACCTTATGCATATTAAGCACGTGTTCTACCACTTAGCTAGACCCTCTCCCCACCAGAAAGTCCGCATTTAATGTTAGCCCATGCAACCAGAAGGGATTCTAACAGCCTCCTTGGTTGTTTGACTTAAACTTGGACTCAACTGTGGCCTAAATTTAATGATATCAAGATGGTAGAACAACCCCTGTTTGATGCAGTGGAAGCAATCCAAAGGTGTAGCTCCTGGGGGAAACAACAGCTATTAGTGCCTTGAACTTGAAAGCTGCAGTTGTGATGCTCTCGTTCACATCCCCATTTGTCTATTTGAGTCTGGGGCAGAAGGTGGATGGATCTTGGAGAATGACTGTGGTTAATATAAACTTAATCAGGCAGTGACTCCAACTGCAGCAGCTGTTCCAGCTGTGATCTCTTTACTGAAGCAGTAAACACTTAACCCCTGGTCCCCGGTCTGTGGCTATTGCTATATTGAATATATCACTCTGCACCAATTTGCCAAGTCCACCAGAGGCGCTTTCTCTTTCCCTGGCAGAGCCAATAGTACACCTAAGGACCAGGCCGTCTCTCCTCTCTGACTGCCATACCGTCTCTCACAACATCCACCGGTGCACGACACTGATGACGTCATCCTGGTTGAAGCTGATGAGCAAGAAGCAGAAAGTACTCTAGATGCCTTAGTAAGACCTGCACAAACCAGAAGGTTGGAGGTTTACTCTGTGAAAATTTAAGGAAGGAAAACCTCAGTGAAGTTTCTGGCAGTTCAGTGCTCTAAAGAATGTAGATATCCTCCTCAAGGTAAAAGACAGGAGGCTGCACCCACACCAGCCACCTCTAAAATAACATTTAGCATACTCCTGCGGATTAGCATGTACAAATGTGCTGCCTTCGTTGACCCATCTGCAGCATGGCTCATAAGAGACTGAACTCTTGGGACTACGGGTGACCATGTGACCTGAATTTTTCATCAGGAACCGGGAATTTAAAGATAGATAGATGGTCAGGTGTGGTTTCAGAAAACAGAACACAGCATGAGGAAGTGCCTCCAGTTCCTTTGACACCAATTCCTGCAGCACAGCCTCCTCTCCCTCCACCGTGTCTATGCTTTTTGGAACCTTCCAGACGACCAGATGACTGAGGAGGAAGTGACTGAAGCCTGGTTTATAGATGGCTCTGCACAATCTGCTGGAAGTAGACGGCTGCAGCACGACCGCACCACTCACGGCTGACCCCGAGGAAAGTGGCAAAGGAAAATTCTCCAAGGGGGCGGAGCCTTCAGCACTACAGCTGATTGTTCATTCTTTTAACAGAATTTTTTCCCTACCTTTATTGAGAGATAATTGCTATATCTCATTATGTCAGTTTAAGGTGTACAACAATGATTTGGTACACATCTATGTTGCAAAATCTTTATCACTATCATATTAGTTAACACATCCTTCACCTCATAGAATTTTCATTTTGTTGTTGTTATGGTGAGAACACTTAAGATCTACTTTCATAGCAACTTTCAAGTATATAATACAGAATTGTTAACTGTAGTCACCATGCCGTACATTCAAGCCCCAGAACTTACTTATCTTGTAACTGGAAGTTTGTACCCTCAGCTGACATCTCTTCACTTTCCCCACCCCCAGCCTCTGGTAACCACTATTCTACTCTCTGTTCTATCAGTTGAGTTTTTTAATTTTTTTATTAAAAAAATTTTTTTTAATGGAGGGACTGGGGATTGAACCCAGGACCTTGTGTATGCTAAGCATGCACTTCACCACTGAACTATACCCTCCCCACCTTAGTTCAGCCTTTTTAGATTCCACACATAAATGAGATTATACAGTATTTGTCTTTCTCTGTCTGATTTATTTCACTGAGCGTAATGACCTCAAGGTCTATCCATGTTGTCGCAAGTGGCAGGATTTCTT